GGCATCCAGACTGGAAAAGACAAAGTCAAACTGTCCCTGTTTGCAGATGACATGATCTTATATACAGAAAAACCTAAAGACTCTACCAAAAAAACTCTTAGAGATGATAAACGATTTCAGTAAAGTTGCAGGATATAAAATCTACATGCAAAACCCAGTAGCATTTTTATACTCCAATAACAAACTAACAGGAAAAAAAAAATCAAGAAAGAAATCCCATTTAAAATAGTCACCAACAAAATGAAATACCTAAGAATCAATTTAACCAAGGAGATGAAAGATCTCTACGATGGAAGAATTACATTCTGAAAATCTCCATACTACTCAAAAATGATCTACAGGTTCAATGCAATCCACATCAAAATACCAATGGCATTCTTCACAGAAATAGAAAAAACAATCCTAAAGTTCATATGGAACACCAAAATACCCTGAATAGCCAAAGCAATCCTGAGAAAAATAATTAAAGCCAAAGGCATACCACTCCCTGACTTCAAAATATATTACAAAGCAATAGTAACCAAAACAGCATGGTACTGACATACAGACAGACAATGGAACAGAATAGAGAACCCAGAAATCAATACACATACTTACATCTTTGACAAAGGCAACAAGAACATACAATGGGGAAAAGACTGCCTCTTCAGTAATTGGTGCTGGGAAATCTCTGGAGCTATGCTGCACTCTCTCTGTGAAATCTGTATCTCTTATTTGTTGTATTAAACCTGTTCTCTTTCTACTATGACTCTGTTCTTGAATTCTTTCCTGTGGCAGAGTCAAGAACCTGGAAAGAGGATGGGGTGGGTTGATGCTGACTACTAGGCCGCTGGACCCTACCTCCAACATCACATACTTTCCTTATATAACTTATATTCTAGATAAAACTGTTTTAGAGTATATATTTTTTCACTTGGCATCCTTTCATGAGAATTTTCCCTACGTCATTAAAATCTTCCAAAAATTTTTAAGTGAATTGCAAAATACTATAAATAAATAAATTGATAAATTGTTGAAGCAAGAAATGGTAAAGATAGAAGATTTGTGGGAATGAGGGGGTCAAGAGGGTGTGTTTTTAAAATGCAAAAAATAACAGCATGTTTCATGTTGGGGGAAAGAAAAGTGGTTACAATGAAATTAGTGTAATAAAATCTTATTTTGTGAAGTTATATATGTGTATATATTTGTGTGTATGCGTACATATAAAAGTCTGATAAAAGTCTGAAAGGATATACACCAAAATGTTATGAGTATTTATCAGTGTTAGGATATGTGGTACCTTTTTTCTCATTTTCTTACACTTAATAATTTTTCTAGGATGGGGAGAATGCAGTCATTCCCAGCAATTTAAATAGGAACAATTTCAACAGAAAAGAAGCTGAATCATTTTGAGAAAAAGGAACATTCCTAAAGTAACATATGAATTTAATTAAGAGTAAGGTCACAGAAGAACTGTCACACTCCTCTCTGTTTTTTCCAATGGAAGGGCCAAAATGTGGGACCTCTCCAAAACAATAAAGATTCCTAAGAAACAGAAAGTATATTTCCCATAATCCTTATTTTCAATGGCTACTATTTTCACTCTTCGGGTGTTTTATGAGTATCAAGAGAGCTGTTTTATATCATATTTCTATACGGATTCAATTCAGTCTCCTGAATGGAAAGCGAAATTATCTTTATGGTAGTAGTAATACTAGTTTTTATTATAAATTTACCTAGTAAATTAGATTGTGAATCACACAGGAGAATGAGTAGTGAAGGAAGTCTCAGAAGCCCATCCCTCAAATCTGGAGGGTAAGCCATCTACCCTTATTAATGCCATTTCAGAATTGGAAACATCCCTAAACCAACAAAAGAACCTCTCTCACTGTCTTCTACTAACACAGCAACCCAGTTTAGAGTCCAGGTGTGTAGGACTGATGAGGTGGAGCATTTCTAAGAACACATAGTATAAATGTCATAAGTACCCTCTGACTCTAAGGCTTATTTTAATTAAATTAAAATTTACATTTGAATACAAACAGGCTCAAAATTCAAAACCAAAAAAAAAAAAAAAAAAGAAAATCACAGAATAAAAGTAAGTCTCCAAGTTTCCTTCCATCCTCATCTTCCAAGAAAGGGAAGCTCTGTTACCAGTTACTCATTGATACTACCAGGGATACCCAACATATACATATATATATATATATATATATATATATATATATATATATATATACACACACACACACACACACACACACTTATACGTAATAACATTTTTAAGCAAATGATAGCGCACTATAACATTGTTCTGCACCTTGCTTTCTTCACTTAAAAATGTGTTTTGGAGATCATTTGATATCAGTATATATAGAGCTGCTCTTTTTAACAGTTGGAAAATACACCATTGCATGGAGATACACCACAATTTATTTAATCAGCCCCCTGCTGATGAATATTTAGATTATTTTCTATCTTTCTCTATTAAAAACAAATCTGCAGTAAATATGCTTGTACCCACAGTATTTTGCAATGTGCAGATATTACCTGGTCAATGGCTTATGTACATTTGTATCTTGATAAATATTGCCAAATAACCCTTACAGAAGGTGTACCAATTTACACTCCCACTAACATTATTGTACGAGAGTGCCAGTTTTACAACCCCTTTTTCAATACAATTTGTTATCAAACTTTTTGTTCTCTGCCAATCTGACAGATGAGAAATAATATATCACTATAATTATAATTTGCATTTATCAGCGAGATTAAATATTTTCTCATATATTTAAGAATCATTGTTGTGTCTTTTTGGTGTACAGTCTGTTCATATATTTGCCTGTTTTTCCATTGGATTGTTGGTCATTGGTCTTTTCTTTTTGAATTCATAGGGGTTTGTTATATATTAAAGCACTTAGTAATGCATAGTGGTAAACATGAACAGAAGACAGAAAAAGAAAAACGAATAAACCACTAATATTGAATCCAAATTATATGTATCCCCCCAAAATGTTCTTTACAATATGAGATATGATACCCCAGGCTTTTTTCCAAAACATGTTTTTAAAAATCCTTGCTCCCTTCTCCCACTGAAAAACGTACAGAGAGCATCTCCTGTGTAACAGACTCTGAGTTAAACCCTGGGGATACAGTCGTCATCAAGGACAAAGACACATCTACACATTAGCGTTGATCTGCAATCAACAGAGGGTACCATGGACTTTTCATGACTCAGTGGCCCCTCACCTCCCTCAACCATTGACTGATTACTTTGTCTACTATGTCCTGAGGATACAGCAGTTAACAGGATCGAAAAAGGGGCCTTTCCTTCACGGAACTTACAGTCTAACTCAAACTCCCCACTGCTTGGGAGATGCAAACATTTTATACATTCCAGGGAAAAGAGCATATTTATTCATTAGCAGGATGCAGGACTGAGACAAAAGGAAGATTTGAGGAAAAGCAGCTGAGATCTGCCTTGAGGAAGTACATGGGTAGTGGTTCCCTTTCCTGAAAGGGAAGCTAAGACTTGCCCTAGCTGGTGCCTTACACTTTCCTGTGGAGCAGCAGAGAGGGAGGACAGCATGATCCCTTGCTGGTCCTGACAGGGGAAAGCCCTCTTTCTTGGGCAACTGTGGGGACAGTACGATGACAAAGGGAGTTAACATTTGGAACGAGAAAAAAGTAGTGTGGCAGAATTACTTGTGACACAGAAATGTGGTTTGTTTCCTAGAGTTAGAGGTCTAGGTCTACCTTCTCGTAGAAGACGGACAATGGTGTTTTGCCCCCAACCCAGTTTTTGAAAGAGTAGAAGTGCTTTCCTCCCCTACAGGGCTCCAGGAAGCAAGCAATAAAAGAAAAACATGGAGAACCACACTACAGCCCCCAGGGCAGTCTGGTCTGAAGTATCTTTTCCCCTCCGAGCCAGCAGTCGTCACACCCTCTCTGCCCTACTGACATTTTGGGCAGGAAACACTGTGGGTCAGGCCTAGAAGGGGCCCATAAAGGAGGGAGGGACTCGGTTCACGGATACAAAGGTATTTGGGTATTAACACTTGTTCAGGAGTACAGGGTTGTTTTCCTGATGCCCAAGCTCAGGCTCCTTTATATTTAGGCGGGGAGACTATCTTGAGAACGGATGGTTTGGTATTAATGTGCTTCTCTTTGTTCATCTCTGCGATCTCTGTATCCTTATCCCACTTTGAGTATTTCGATGCAATAAATATGCCGGTCAATAAGGGCCAAAGACTCAGGAGCGAGGAGCAGGAAAAGACTAAAGTTTTTGACAGCGATCAGCAAGTCAGGCCCGCGCAGCTTTCCAGAGGCCCCGCCACGACCTCGCCCATTTCCTGTAAAAAACTGGAGGTGCGGCTTGGGGCGCTTTCTGTCATAGGGGGAAAACAAAGCTTGTGGAATAGATTAGAATTTATCCTATCTCAGTCTTGAGCCTCTTTCCCGACTTTCCTACCTCGGGCCCCGCCCGAGCCCGCCCATTTCTGACTTGGGTTTGGAGAGGTGAACTTGTAAACACTGATCGCTTCAGTATCCGTCCGCTTTGTCGGGTCAGAGCTGATTTTCCGACGCCACCGCCGGAGACCTTCCTGCATTTCAGCTCAGAAAAAATAGTAGCCCTGGAGGTGGGGTGGGGGTGCGGGGGGCTCCTAAAATTGAGGAACTAATTCCAAGACACTTTTTGGTATTAGTCCGCTGCTCCCCGTGCAGCACTGTTTTCCTATATGCAGATCCCGCCCTCTGAGCACTCCAGTTCCAGAACCGGCCAGAGTGGGAGGGGCGGAGCTCACTGGCACAGGAGAATCGACGCTAGGCAAGCTTGGTATCACTCCGCTTCCACAAGCCGGATCCTCTTAAACTACCCTGTGGCTCCTCCAGCTGATTATTTCGGTAATGGGGACGTGGCAGAACTTACCCTGCGGATGAAAAGGTAGATGTTGGTCACTTCGTGCGGGTTCCTGAGGAACTCTGGGAACGGAAGAGAGAAGGGAATACCAAAAAAAAAAAAAAAAAAGACAATAGTTTGCCTAATACGGCCCTTAATCTGATAAAGCAGATATCTCATCCTAAATCCCAGGTGCCGGGCCAACCCCAAACAAAGTCGCCGCCATTGTCTTGTGTCCTTGTGTTCATCTGACTATCCGTCCCTCCTGTATGGCGCGGCACCTTTTGAGGCAAGGAGGTAAGAAAACTGCCTCTGATCCAAGCAGAGCAGGTCAGTGAGAAGGCGGGCATCGCTTGGGGCTGTGGATGTGAGTATTGGAGATGAACGCGGTTTACGTGATCTGGTCAAGGGAGGCGGGCGGTGAGAGGAGGAGAGGGACGGGATAATTTGAGTGGCACACAACAGTAAAAAATGATCTGCCTCTTGCTAGCTTGATTTCCAGACACTAGCCCCACCTCCGATCATGTTTGAGACAGGAAAGGGGTGTAGTAGCGGCGTCTAGCGCGAAATGGCGGACTATATAAGAGGAAGAGGGGCTGCCGCTACTGGTGAGGACAGTTGTCTGGGGAGCCCTTGAGAGGGAGAAAGTGTAAGAGGAGGTTGTAAATGTTTGATAATCAAGGCCCTGGATTTGAAAAGGGTCTCATGTCCTGGTTATTGGTCTGACCGTTAATAACTATGTCTCTCCTACTGTCTTTTTATTTAGTCTTTGGGTGTGTATCATGTGTTTATATGTGTAGATCTGTTCCTAAATTTGCGGTACTCTACGTTTCAGTAAAGATCTGTAGGGAGCAGCAGACCTCAGGGGAGGGGGGGAGAAGGAAAAGAAAATTGACCTGGTTTCTGTAGATTGGGCAGTGCTTGAAGGTGGTAGATGGCTAAGACTGGAGTAGGTAGGGGTCTATGGAACCTCCAGATCTCTGCCAGCATTCCAAACATGTCCTCCCCTACCCCCATTATGTTGTAGAAAATGATAGGCTTTGGGGGAGAGGAAAGAAACATAAGAACCTAGATAAAGTTTGGAAATAATACTTTTCTTTGTTTTCCCAGCCTCCGTGGTTTGTCTGGGAATTTCATCTCTACTAACACCACTATTACCTTGCAAGGGTGTTTGAGTTGCCTCTGCATGGGAATTATTAGACTTTGGGAATGGAGCAGAGGGGCTTGGAGATTTGGGGGTAGAGGAAGAAACAGAGGCAGAAAATGTTTGGCAAACAGGTACCCGTATCCAGAAACAATCTGTGCCCTAGGTTCCAGTCTCTACCAAGGACCCAGTCTCCTCTGTCTCCTGTGTTCTCCATTTATTTGTCTCTACGTTTGTGAATCTCTGTGGGGTAGATCTGTCCCTAGGTCTGTGGAACTGTCAGTTTTTGTGAAGGTTTGTAAAGTGGTAACCCAACTTGAAGCTAGGAAATAATGAAGAAGAGAAAATTACCCTGTATCTGTTAAGTTTGGTGTGAGGGTACAGGGACAGGGAGTGACAGATACTAAAGAGTCCCCTTTCTTCTGTTTTGTCAGGTTACCAATAACCCCTGTCTACTTCCATCCCCTGCAGATTCAGTTGGGAGTCTTGGTAATCTTTGGGGTACAGAATGCTAATACCTGCCTTTCCCATTCCCCACTTGCTTGTTCTGCTCTCAGACTTCACCCTAGTCCACTTCTGAACTAGGGAAGTACCAGGGCAATCACTGGAGAAGAAAATGATAGGTAATAGGGAGGAGAAGGAACATCCCTGAAGCAAGGCAGTGGGGGGAGGGGACCAGGAGGAGAGAAACACTAGACAAACTGTATCTGAAAAGGCAAGAGTGCGGGCCAGGAGCCAAGGTCTGTCTACCAGGAGATCAGTTTCCATATCCTCCTGTTTGTTTATTTGTCCATAGGTCTGCCTGTAGGTCTGCTGTAGGGCTTGTCACGATTGGAAGCAAAGAAAGGAGGAGAAAATTACTCCAGATCAGTGCAGGTTGGTATGAGAGTGGGGACTTCTTGGGTAGACCTGTAGGATGGGGTAGTAGAGATCTGCTTTGCTCTAGCAGGGGTCAAGAGCCAGTCGAGGGATTCCTCAGCCTCTCTCACTCCCATCCAGCTTTCCTACCCTCCATGTTCCTGTTTGGTCCCTGGAAAGGAGATTGGTAGCTCTTCTAGGTGCAGAGAGTGGGCAAAATGAAGGGAGAGAAAGTTTGCTAATTATCTTCCTCTCCTACCTAGCACCAAATCTCCATACTCTCCTGTCTCTCTGTGCTAATCAACATGAGGAGAAAAAACTGGAAGAGACTTAAAGCCCCATTTCCTTCCTCCACCCCTAGGTCCAACTTCAGTGACAGATCTGGTGGCCTTGGAGTGGCTGAAGACCACCACCCTCCACCGGGCTGCACCCAGGCATAGCCATCCTTTCCTACTTTGAGTGAGCTTCCTCTGTATATTATCTGTATCATTGGCAGAGCCTATAGTTACAAAGGGGGCTGAGTGACCACTGGACTTTGTATGAAAACACCAACCTGGGAAAGACCATCAGTTAAGACTGAGACAGGGGTGGGGATACATAAGTAGGCTTTTCCTTTAACTTGGACCATGATTGGCCCTGCAGCTAGGGCAAGGGCTAGAGAAGAAGCCGGGGCTGGCCTAAAATCTGGAATCAGTGGCCCTGCCAATGCTAGAGTGAAGGCTGAGACCCAGGCCAAGGCAGTGGCTGGGGCAGAACTAAAAACAGAATCAGTGACCCAGTCCAGAGCTGGGGATAGAGCAATGGCCAAGACACAGACAGTGACCTACACTGAGGCTATGGCTGTGACAAGTGAAGTGAGCAAGATGGAAGATATGATTAAGACGAGGGTTATGGCTAATACTAAGACAAAACCCCTGGCAGAACCTGGTATAGTGCCCCAAACCAAGTCAAAGGCCATGCCTATTTCTAGGGTCAGTGTCATAAGTAAGTCTGAAGTCAAGGTTGGTGCTGGCAGTGAGGCCAATATCAGGCATCGTGCCAAGGCTAGTGATAAGGTCAGTATCGGGTCCAGACCCAAGACAAGGAAAGAGGCCAGCATCAAGTCTAGGGCTGGGGACAAAGCTGATATTGGGATCAAGTCCAGTAATGAGGATGAAGAAAATGTCTGCTCCTGGTTCTGGACTGGAGAAGAGCCTAGTGTGGGGTCCTGGTTCTGGCCTGAGGAAGAGACCCCTCCTCAAATTTATAAGCCCCCACCTAAGATCCAGGAAAAGCCCAAGCCCATACACAAACCGAAACTTACAATAAAACAAAAAGCAACAACATGGTCAAGGGCCAGGTATGTTGTCCTAGTCCCAATTGAGGGAGGGGAGCAATCCTTGCTTCCAGAAGGAAACTGGACCCTGGTTGAGACCTTGATTGAAACTCCTCTGGGGATTCGGCCTCTGACCAGGATCCCACCGTATAATGGGCCTTACTTCCAGACCTTAGCTGAGATCAAAAAACAGGTTAAGCAAAGGGAAAAGTATGGGCCTAATCCAAGGGCCTGCCGCTGCAAATCACGTGGTTTTAGTTTAGCGCCTAAAGAGTTTGATAAACTTGTTGCCCTGCTTAAGTTAACTAAGGATCCTTTCATTCATGAAATAGCTACGATGATAATGGGCATCAGTCCTGCTTATCCATTTACCCAAGATATAATTCATGATGTAGGGATTACTGTTATTATTGAAAACTTGGTCAATAATCCCAAAGTTATAGAACACCCTAGAGCTTTAAATATGGTGTATGACAGCTCTGAATCTTCTGAAGAATCCAAAACAGGAGAGGCATACATACATCAAGTTTGTAAGGACATAATATCTTATCCCTTGAACTCCTCTGTGCAACTGGCTGGACTAAAATTATTAGTGCACTTGAGTGTGAAATTTGAGGACCACCACGTGATTGCCAGTTACATTCCAGATTTCCTCACCTTGTTAAACAAGGGAAGTGTCAAGACCAAGTTTTATGTTTTAAAAGTGTTTCTGTGCTTGTCTAAAAATCAAGACAATACGAGAGAACTGATTAGTGCGGAAGTACTGTCATCATTGGTTGCACCATTTAACAAGAATGAGTCAAAGGCCAATATTCTTAATATCATAGAGATATTTGAGAATATAAATTTCCAATTCAAGAAAAAGGCAAAGCTATTTTCCAAGGAAAAGTTCACTAAATCTGAGCTCGTTTCCATATTTCAGGAAGCAAAACAGTTTGGTCAGAAACTGCAAGACTTAGCAGAGCACAATGATCCTGAAGTGAGAGATAAAGTTATACGATTAATACTCAAACTCTGAATAGCCATATGTTCTCACAGAGCCTTGAACAATTTTTTGGTGATGCAATATGAAACCAATGCATATTATAAATTCAATACTTAATATTCTCTGTATTTGATGGAAGGAGGCAATTTTATGGATACCAAGTTACCTTCAGAGCTTGAACATTTGTTGATTTTTTATTGTGCTATATAATATAAATTGAAATATTTTAGTATTTCTGCAGTGAAACTTGTAATGAACCTATTCTTGAGTAAAATATACTTCTGTGCTTTATATTGATATAAGTGTATTCTTTTGAGATTTCATTTACATGTTGTTAATAAAGTTGGATGCTAAAACTGGTGAAAACATTGTCCTAGTTCTTCGGTTGAAATTAGTTAGAGGGGTAAAGCACAAACAGCATAAAGATGGTGAAGAGCACTGTCTGTGTCTGTGCGTCTGTAGGGGGACACAAACAAAACAAGTTCATAGTGACAGATCTTTTGCTTTCAGCATGTTCAAGGAGTAGAATCACCCTACGCAAGAAGACAGGACTGTGCTACTAGCTGTTTATAGGTCCTGGCTGATAGGGCTTCAAGTGAGGAATGAAGCTGCCCTATTTGGGCCGCTCTGGGGAAGAGGGTGAGGACAGACTCAGAAGGAAGGAAGCGCAGATGCTTTCATTCCAGTCTGAGTCCCAGATTTCGTGCTCACCCTTTTATATAACATCTCATTGGGATGCTTTGAAGCTTTATAAGCCGCAACAGGATTCCTTGTTCTCATCCCCATTCAGCAAAGCCGTAGACAACTTGTGCAGGAAGTGTGGTTCTGAAGGGACCCAGCCTCACTGTGCACTCAGCAGCTTCCTCCCCATCCAGGAGTACCAGTACGACTTATTGCTTAATCTGAAGTTCTCTCCCCCTGCAGTCCTAAGCCTCATGGGAGAGCCTTTATGGGGGCCACCTACAGAAACTGCTTCATAGTCTTGGTGACCGCTGGCTCTCATCCTTGCTTTTGTCTTCTGGCCAATGCTTTGGACTTGATGATTTGTACCTCTTTTGGGTGGCTGCTCCTTGTTTGTGCTGATCCTTTTTGGTCAGACATCAGCTCTATGTGTGACAAAGCCACAGGATACCAAAGTCCTTAAGAAAGTGTAGTTAGGGAGAAATTAATTCCTCTAATTTCACTATTCTCTCTATTTGCACAGTTTACAAAGCTGAAGCCATGTTGTTTATACTACGTCAACTTCTGTTTATGCTTAACAAAAGCTAGGTTCTTGGTGTGGGTTGTGCTGTAGAATGACAGTGTATAGATTGGGATCTGGGGCCACCTATCTGCCTCTCCTTGTCTCCTTTGCTGTTAGTATTCTATTTAATTTACTGCCCATAACTGGGAAATACAGAGATTAGGATCAGTGTGCAAATGCTGATCTTTCTATTGACCATCTCTCTCCTAACTTTTATGCATTTAGGGGAAGGACTAAACTGAAAAATCTCAACATGTGTAATGTACCCCTAGTTTTAGCAGCTGTCCCTAGTTTAATTTCTATTAAAGTCAATTATGAACATATTTTTCATACATCTAGGAGTTTAAATGAAGGACAATCGGCCACACTTGTGCAGTAAGAGGAACAAAAAGTGGGGTAGGATTTTGCAACATGCAGCTTCAATTTAGATGATTGTTGAAGTTCTTTATAACTTGTTTTTTAATCCACAGAACACCCTAGCCTGTAATACCAGGTGTGAGTACTGCTCTCAGTGTTGGAAAGCTTCACAATACAATCGGATCAGATCCTTTGGAAATACTCTCTGTTTCAAATTCACTGTGGAGTACAGACTTAATCAGTTGATGGCTATGGAATTTTCCAACGTCAGCTAAAGAGAAGGGTGAGTGTGGGGTGTGTACGTATTTGTGTCAAAGAAGTTGATGGTCTCTCCTTGGATAGGAATTGTGGGAGGCAAAGTCATCTCCCAAATTGTTCCTGGGGTGTTATCTGCTGATGAGCACTTAGGTTGTTTCCATCTTTTGGCTACTATGAATTTTAATGCTGCAGTGAACACTGAAGTACAAGTATCTGTTCAAGTCCCTGGTTTCAATTCTTTTGAGAATATATCTAGTAGTGGAATTGCTGGGTAATACGATAATTCTGTTTAGTTTTTTGAGAAATTGCCAAACTGTTCTCCACAGTGGCTGCATCTTTTTATATTCCCATCATCAACATACCAGGGTTCCAGTTTATCCACATACTAGCTATCACTTATTATTTTGTATTATTTTTTAAATGTCCATCCTAGTAGGTGTGAAGTGGTATCTCATTGTGGTTTTAATTTTCATTTCCCTGATGACTGATGGTGTTAAGCATCTTTTCATGTGCATATTTACTGTTTGCTTTTCTTTAGAGTAATATATATTCAAGTTCTTTGCCCATTTTTTATTTGGGTTGTTTGTTTTTTTGTTGTTGCATTGTAGGTGTTCTTTCTATATTTTGGATACAGGCCCCTGATTAGCTATATGATTTGCAAATATTTTCTCCTATTCTGTAGGTTGTTTTTTCACTTTTAATGATGTCCTTTGATGCACAAAAGTTTTTAACATCAGTGAAGTCCAATTCATCTTTTTTTTTTTTTTTTTTTTTTTTTTTTTTTTTTTTTTTTTTTTTTTGCTTCTGTTGCTGTTGCTTTTGTGTCACATCTAAGAATTCATTGCCAAATCCAAGGTCACAGAGATTTATCCCTATGTTTTCTTCTGAGAGTTTTATAGTTTGATCTTATGTTTTTGAGTTGATTCATTTTGAGTAAATTTTTGTATGTGGTATGAGGAAGAGGTCCAACTTTATTCTTTTGCATATGGAAATCTGGTTGTTCCAGCACTATTTGTTGAAGAGTCTATTCTTTCCCCAGTGAATGGACTTAACACCTTTGTCAAAGTCAACTGGCGGTGGATGTGTGAGTTTATTTCTGGACGTTCGATTCTGTTCCTTTCATCTCTGTTTGTCCCTGTGCCAGTACTGCAGTGTTTTCATTACTGTAGCTTTGTACTAAGTATTGAAATGAAGTGCTCCAACTTGTTTCTTCTGCTTCAAGATTGTTTTTGTTATTCTGAGTCCCTTTCCACTCCATATGAATTTTAGGATCAGTTTTTCCACTTATACAAGAAAAGTCATTAAGATTTTGATAGGGATTGCATTCAGTTTGTAGATTGCTTTGGGGTATTGCCATCTCAACAATATTAATTTTCCAATCCATGAACGCAGGATACTTTTCTATTTATTTAGGCCTTTCATTCTTTTAGCAATACTTTGTAGTTTTAGGTGTATAAGTTGTTCACTTCTTTGATTAAATTTATTCATAGGTATTTCATTCTTTTATATACTATTGCAAATGGAATTGTTTTCTTATTTTCCTTTTCAGATTGTTTGTTGCTAGTATATAGAAACGTAACTGATATTCGTGTGCCTATTTTGTAACCTGCAACTTTGTTGAATTTATTAACTCTAGTAGCTTTTTTGTAGATTATTTAGGAATTTCTATATACAGTATCATGTAATCCACAAATAGAAATACTTTTCCTTCTTCTTTTTCTATTTGGGTACCTTTTATTTCTTTTTTCTGTCTAATTGCTCTGGCTAGACCTTCCAGTACAATGTTGAACAACAGTGGTGAAAACACATGTGCTTGTCCTGTCCCTGATCCTTCTGGGGAAAGCATTTAGTCTTAAACAGTTGAATACGGTGTTAGCTGTGGGATTTTTTTTTTTTTGTTATCTGTCTTTTTTATTTTTTATTTTTATATATTTTTTTTTCTTTTTTTTTTTTTAATTTTTATTTTGTCAATATACAATGTATATGATTATTCTGGCCCTTCACCGACACCTCTCGCCTTCCTCCCTCTCTCCCCTCCCCCCCAAGAATGTCCTTTCCGTTTGCTTGTTGTAACAACTTCAAAAAAAAGTATAGTAATATCTTCTTTCCCCCCCCCCGTTTTTGTGTGTGTGTGTGTGTGTGTGTGTGTTTGTGGGTAAATTAATTTGTTTATTTTTT